ATAAAATTGACACATGCTTCAAGGAGTTTTCAGTGGAAAGGATGATAAATGCATAAAAACAGCTCTTTCTCTCAGCTGTAATTTCCAGTGGGTGGGCAAATGTTCCTGGCAATCTGACGAAGGGGAAAGACCTCAAGGACAAGAAGGCGAGAGAGAGACAGATGGGCAAAGAGAATGAGCAGGAGAGACAGGAATAATGGATGACAGTAAATAAAGAGTTAGACAGATATACTGAGTAGGAATTTACTAATAATGTATTTGCTAACAGCTCTGTTTATTTGCTCACACTGTCAATAAACACAATGTAATTCTGTTTATTGTGTTTCAAACTAGATTTGAGAATGACATTTGACTTTATAGAGAGGTTCTGGATGTGTATAATGTAATCAGTAAGTGTCAAATAGTAAATTTGAATAATCTGGAATTATTGATATTTAAATTTACAAATAAAAGTAAATAAAAACAAAATTCTCTGTGACTTCTCTGATAAAGCAGCATTTATTTTGTTGCAAATTTCAAATATAGCTTGCTCTAAAATGAATGTTTAATGGAAAATATTAGCACCCTTACAGAAAAATTGAAGCCTCTCTTCCATTGACATCCATTTAAAAAAGCCAACCTGTTCTCAGTCCGAAAGTCTGATAATGATAATGAAAACCATGCCTCAAAATATCATGTAATGATATCGCAGCATACAATTAATGATAATAAATTTCCCATGCCCTTCACATCAGTATATTATGAAAACGTTTCTCAGTGAAAGCTATGAGTTTACCATTGTGTCGCAATTAAAGATGCTTTTGCTGTATGTATAATGATGCACAAAAGTCTTGGACATGCGGCATTTATTGAACTTCTAGGGAATGAGCTGAACTGAAAAATTAGCTTCTTGTTTCAACCTAGGGGAAATCAGTATGTGCATATACAGTGAAAAAAAAAGCATTTGACACTTTTCAATTTTGTCAATTCACTTGACAATTTTCATTCACACATAATAGTGCTAATAAATGTGCTAGCAATAGCTAGAAAGATTTGCAAAGATAAAATTCCTAGTATATTAGAATAAATCAGAAGATACGATATCCACATAAAAATTGTATTTAAAGAAGTGAATTTCTATACATAGAAAGCATATTAAAAGTGTTTAATATTTTAAATAACTTTTGTGAATTAATGTCCAAATGTGGGTGAAATAATGTTTAATCATTATTCAGCATAACATATATATTTATGTAAAAATTAAAGAACATCTCGGTTACGTATGGTAAGCCTCGTTCCCTGAAGGAGGGAACGGAGATGTCACGTCGGATGACCGACGAAATTGGGATCTCGCTTACAGGGACCAATCTACTTCGAGTGTAAACTAAACGAGCCAATGCACATTGGCATGCGATTATTGCATCCAGCTGCTGCTGATCACAGCGTGAGTATAAGTAGGCAGCAGATGCAGCGCATATTCAGGTTTTCGCTGAGGAGCCGAGTCGGTGACCCGGCCGCTCAGCGGTGGTACAGGAGCTGTGGCAACGGATGACCGACGAAATTGGAATCCTACCAAAGGGCCACAGCTACTGCCCCTTCCAGTGTCCTGTGGAAGCCACCTGCGCCCCTATTTTTTGGCGTAGGCCAGGGCTTCTTCACAAGAGGACCAGCTACTGCTACTATGGC